TGCCTGTTAAAATTCTTGAGTGTAAGAAATATCATAACACACATTCTTGAATGTATGCATAACAGAAATACCATAAAACTTAAAGTTTTAAATCAAATTAAATCTGGCTCCAAATTTTCACTCTTTAATTTGGCATAAAAATTTCATCTCAGTCTCAAGTATATGGGAAGCAGGTAGCTTACCCTGCACACAGAAAAGAAAAACTTTCTCTAGTTTTCAGTTCATCACAATGGCTGCTGTAATGCTTAATATCAAAATCCACATTTCACTTGAAGGCGGAAAGCTCCATCCATTCTGTGACATTTGCTGGTATAGGGGTCTTATGCTACTACTCCCCAGGCCATGGTGGCATGTGCCACAGGGTCTTAAGTCTCAATCACTTGCAGAAAAACACTCACCACCTTCTCCCCAACCATTTCCTTGATCTCCAGAAGCTCATCTTTTCCCCAAGCATTAGGTTATTTTCTTTTTCCATTCCCTAAGGAAGACTCAAGTGGGAACGCCTTTATACCTGGAAACTTCCATTTTCAGCCTAGAAACATAAAAATCATTGATAACCATTAGAGGCAAGGAAACTCAAACTCATTTTGTAAAGGTTTAGCTACCTTAGAATACTGGGAGGAAAAGCGGTTTCATCATTTTAAGCCTCCTATTCCTTTGAATATAAAACACGAATACTTCGACCAATTATACCACCATGCTGCTCATCCTCTAAGATGAGTTGGTAAAGTTTTTTAAAGTATTAAGCTGGTAAAGGGCCAGGTAGTAAATATTTTAGGTTTTGTAGGCTATGTGGTCTCTGTCTCAACTATGCAACTCTGCTGTTGTAGCGTGAAAGCAGCCATAAATAGTATGTAAATGAGTGTGGCTGTGTTCCAATGAAACTGTGCTTACTGACACTGAAATGTGAATTTAATAAAATGTTCATGTGTTGCAACATATTGTCCCTATTTTGATGTTTTTCCTCCATTTTAAAATGTAAAACCATTCATAGCTCACGGGCTGTACAAAAATAAGCAGCGGGCTAAATCTGGCCTGTAGGCTGTAGTTTGCCAATTTCTTCTCTAAGACAATCAGATGAGAACTTTTAACATGAATGTTTCCAGAATTCTGAATTATTTCCTTCCATAAGTAGCTCACTTTTGTGCATTTATCATAGTCCTTACCACTTTCTGTCAAAAATGATCATTTCATATGCATACGTCTATCTCAAATGACTGTCCTCTTTACGAGAAAGTACTTCCTTTGAGGCCTCACAGAGCCTAGGTGTTCAAACTATTTCAGTTGAATGAAACTGAGTAGTGGGGCAAATAAGGTTGATGAATGAAACAAGTCTATCATGGAGCATCATCTACACAATGCTGGCTTTGTTCTGGGAGAGGGCTATGAGTTTTGTTGCAGATGATTTGTAATTATTTTTGTGGGTTCTCATTTTCTTCTCCCTAATTATATTTGTTAACTTGTTGAATTGCTTCCAAGACCATTCTTTGAGGACTGAAGCTGTATAAAGGACTCCACATTGCTGAGTCTCAACAGGAAGGCTAAGGTTTCCAAAAAAATGTTTCATTTATGATTTTATTCATCTTTAAGGTTTTTAGAAAAACTGGAAGTATGAGATTGGGATGAATTTTTAAAGATTAGAAATCTTGAAGCTATTTGGTTCATAGAGAATTAGAAAACCGTCTTTTAGAAAATTACGTGCTTCTTTCGTCTTAGTAATAATTTATGCTTTCATGTTTTGTATTTCACTAACTCTGTACAAAATCCTGTGAAGTAGGCTGAACAGGAGTAGAGTTAAGACTCTTCAAGGTACAAGTGGTTAAAAAAAATAACCCAACAGGGGGTTTCCCTGGTGGCACAGTGGTTGAGAGTCCGCCTGCTGATGCAGGGGACGTGGGTTCGTGCCCCGGTCTGGGAAGATCCCACATGCCGCAGAGCGACTAGGCCCGTGAGCCGTGACTGCTGAGCCTGCGTGTCCGGAGCCTGTGCTCCGCAATGGGAGAGGCCACAACAGTGAGAGGTCCGCATACCGCAAAAAAATAAATAAATAAATAACCCAACAGGGACTTCCCTGGCAGTCCAGTGGTTAGGACTTTGCCTTCCAATGCAGGGGGTGTAGGTTTGATCCCTGGTCGGGGAGTTAAGATCCTACAGGCCTCGCAGCCAAAAAACCAAAACATAAAACAGAAGCAATATTGTAATAAATTCAATAAAGACTTTAAAAATGGTCCACACCAAAAAAAACAAAAAACAAAAAACAAAAGTAAATAACCCAATAAAAAAAAAAGCAATGTTTTCATTCAGATAACTGAGAAGACAGGGATAGATCTTTCTTCCATCTATGGATGAATCCAAGGACTCCAATGATATCACCAAGGTCCTGTGTTCTGTTGTTCAGCTCTGTGTTCTTTTGCATTGCTCTTATTCTCTCCCACTGCAGTCAGGCTTCCCTCAAGTTGCTGGAGGAGACGGCAACTAGCAGCCTCAATTTCACATCATCCCAGCACAAGGATACTAAAAGCAAGAAGTGCCTCCACTAGCTCTGGCTGGAAAATCTTTAGACGAGGACTGTAATTATTCATTCAACCAGGATCACTTAATGGGAGAAGAGTGGTTCCCCAGAGAGGAATGCTGAGCAGATAATGAATGTTCTCCGAAGTGGGTATTTACTGAGCGGCCATCTACATATGGGAAAGGGAGGCACAGAGAAATGAAGTAACTTTTCCACAGTCACACTGTTGGTAGGTAACAGAAGTAAACAGAAATCATGCCTTCTCACTCATACCTCATACAGTGCCTCTGCCCTTGCCTGTATAACCATGTTATTTCCATGGTGTAAGTATCTCTATCTCACCATTTCCAAATGAAAGCTAGACCCGTAAGTTTTCATAAAGACTATAATGTCATTCCACTGCATCTATTTCTTTGTCTTCTGCATATACATCAATAACTTCACATTCAAGGAACCATAATTATACTCACCTTTTAGCTTCAGTATTCCTGGATAACTCTGGCCTTGTGAAAGAATCTAATGGTTTTCTGTCGCTTTGATGTTACTTTGGTCTTGCTGCCACAAATTATGGGCATTTTATAATGCATTTTAAGGTGTTTTTAAAAGTCACTCTTTAGAAAAAATACAGAATTTTAATAAAATTACATTGACAAGTAATTATTCCTCATTCCTTAACGTATTCCCTAATTTTTTGTGATGGACATAAACAATAAAGTGATTTACTGTAAATGTGGTTCATCTTTCTATAAGCAGGCAAGTGGCTGATTTGGCGGGAAGAGGACTTGACCTACGGCCAGCCCACGTGGATTCTAGTTTGGCTTTGTCAATTACTAGTTGTGTGGATACCGAAAATGGCTTAGACTCTGAGCCTCAGCATTCTCACTTGCAAAAGGGGAATGGTACTTTGGCCTTATTTTGATACTTAGAGCAGAACTCATGTACCGTTACAAAAATGATATAAAAATGTCAGTACTTCTACATTTGTTTAAAAGCTGGCTTTCTCTAAGACTGTAACAAAATAAGGAGAGAACATGTGAAAACTGTTACCTCAGTGGAAAGATCCTCTTGGAAGAAGTGATTCGATTTTCTAGAAAACACAACCCAGAACACCTTAACTGGGAAATATACAAACAGAGACATAAAACTGGAAGGCGAAAATGTTTCTTCTAAGATTTTCTAAAGTTCCCTGATTCTTGTTTTACAGCTTATTGATATTTTCTTGCGTCCCTGCCATGCTGTCAGAAATTTTCATTTTGAAGCAAGGAAACTTCAATGAGAAAAGTATTTCAACTTTTGGCTCACTACAAATTTTCCCTTGGGAGATTATATTTCTGGATCTGTTCCAGACATTAGGTTCTTTGTTGCTCCAACCAAACCCGGGACGCCACCCAGAGGTGCGCAGCGCCACCTCCTGGGAGCGCGGACAGAGCCAGCCAGCAGTAAGCGGCTGAGGGCCGACCACCTGTGTTACGGTCTGTGTGGCTCTGGTGACTCAGACACTTCGGGTGGTTTCTGTACACATACCCCTGCGAGGAACTCCAGACTTAGCTGACTAGAGGTTCTTAACCCAGCGAACGGCAAGGCACGTTTATAGTGAGGGCCCTGTGTTTAGGGAAGGGTGCTCCACGGCTCAGAGCAGAGCTACGTTAGGTGGGTGGGAAACCAGCCCGTGAGCGGAACGACGCTCGGTGGGCGGAACGACGCTCGGTGGGCGGGGCTTATCTCCATCCGCAGACCAAGCTCACGGGGCAGGACTCCGCCCTGTGGGCGGAGCTTATCTCGGTGGGCGGAACTACGACCTTGACTGGCTCCCTCATTCCGGAACTTCCTGGATCCTGCAGGTGCTGATGGCGTTACCTGGAGCTTAAACCCCTGCACGAGGGTATCGGAGGACTGGTGAGAGATTAATTAAAAAATTTTCCGGCGCGCTGGCGTGGAGTTTCCGAGGGTTGAGACAGGATTGGCCGTCCGCGGGCTGCTGCCGTCTGGAGGCTCCGTTCCGTCGTCGCTTGCTGCCTTAGGCAGCCCTACTCGGCCGCAGGCCTGCTGGCTCAGGCCTGAAACCCCCATGCCTGCTGGGCCTTCAGCCCACGGCAGGGTACCAGTTTTGGGTTGTTCTGTTGTCACCAGTTTCCACGTGGTTGTTAAAGAAAATCCCTATCCCCCTACCCCCCCAGCTAGGCTCTCATCTTCACGAACCTTCCTCAAGTCCCCAACTCTATTGGATGTTTCCCTTTTGTGACTCCACTCGTATGCTGTCAGTTACAGCACCTATCTTTATGTTTGTATGTTTCATATGTATGTATATAGGTTCTGTACCACACTTGGTACATAGTAATTGATTAATGAATTCTAGACGAATGGTTGGATTTTGGTTACTTAGTGGAAGGATTTTAGATTATTTAATTTGCGGGTGGTTTATGTGTATTTTCTGCTTCTATAATAATCATGTATTTTCTACTGTGTTTTTTTTTTTTTTAGAAGTTCTGTTGGGGTTCGGAAGCATTGCTGTCTCTGTTGTTCCTGAGGCTAGACATTGAAGGAGGAGAGATACAATGTGAGCAAAGGGAAGAAGGGAAGAATGTGCAAGGTGTCTTCAGAGAGTAATTAGTAGACTAGAGTCGGTATAGAGAAATAGCAGGAGATACCTTTGACAGATTTATGCTGGAGTCAGGTTTCCAGCAGTATGTCAGGACAAAGAATATTGCTCCTTGTGGGTTGGAGGAGCCACTGAAGGATTTTAACATTGGGACGGTTCAATTCATACCACTACGCAGGATAGACTTGAATGCATGTGGCTTAAGCCAGGGGTTGACAGTCTTTCTGTAAAGGGCCAAATAGTAAATATTTTAGGCTTTGCGAGCCACAGTTGTCGCAGGAAAGCAGCCACACACAAAACATACATAACTGAATGGACGTAGCTGCGTTCTAATAAAACGTCATTTACAAAGACAGGTGCCTGACCTGATTTGGTCCATGGGTATAGTTTGTCCCAACCCATAGTCTAACCAAATAGTCCTAGGGACTAAAGCAGTAACCCAGTCCTGAACTAGGCAGTACTAAATCATGTTTTTGTACTGCATTTTTATTTATATATGAGAGGCCACATCACATAATGAGAGCTCAGGATCTAGTCTGCTTGGCTTTGAATCTTGGCATTCTCTGACTACTAATAGTGCAACAATGGGCAGATTAACTTCTCTTTGCATCAGGTTTTTTTTTTTCTAATATGTAAAATGAGGATAAAATAGTACCTCCTACAAAGTGTTGTTGTAAGGAGTAAATTAGTTAAAACACATAAAATGTTAGCATAGTGCTGTACATGTAGTAAAAGCTTAATAAATTTTAACTATTAATATTTTTTAAATTGTTCCTCACGTGCATTGTTAAAGACAGGTTTGAGAGATGTTTCTCAAGTAGAATTTATAGGCTTAGTGTGTTTAGCTATAAAACAAAGATAATACAGTTTTTAGGCACGAGCCATTCACATAGAGGTGATGTGGAAGTCATGAAAGTAATTTAACGCGGGGGTTAGGAAGTGTAAGATTAAGTACTGGTTTTGAGGAGGTGCACACAGGAGTGAAAATGGGGCAAGTAAAAAGGAATGAAAGAAGGAGGGAGAAGGGAGTCAGTCCTAGAGTATGAAAGGAACCAGAATGGAATAGCAGTATGTAAACTAGCAGAAGGATGGATGGTGATGGTTAGCATTGTCAGATGCTGCAGAGAGCTGAAAAAAAACAATTGTTGTGTTGAGAATATTAATTAATCTAACTGGCAGAAATTAATGTGGAGCCTCTTATGGGTCAGGTGCTGGAGATGCAGAAAAGAATTAGCTACATACTCTGCACTGAAACAGAAAAATCTAGTAGGACCAAAAGGACATGGAGATTATTTTAATACAAGCAGCAATTTTAAAAATAATCAGGAGGAAGATGGAACTTCTTAGATTGGTACCTTTACTTCCAAAACTGAAATTGATTTACAGTTCATAAACATGGGCAACTTAATTGAGCTTCTTTTCTTTCTTTCCTAGACAATGGCCAAGAACAAACTAAGAGGACAGAAGTCCAGGAATGTATTCCACATAGCCAGCCAAAAAAGCTTTAAAGTTAAAAATAAAGCAAAACCAGTTACCACTAATCTGAAGAAGGTTAGTATCACTTAAGCACTATGACTTTATTGTTTACAAGCAAAGCATAGTTGTAAAGCTACTGAAAAACTGAATGCTAATATTTAAAACAGGTTCTTAGCCTTTCCTACAAAAGCATGATTTTAAACATTTGTTTTAAAAATGAAAAAAGATGAAGAAAAATAACCTCCCTTTCTTGAATTCAAATGTGCAAAAAGAAGAAAGCATTTTAACTGCAAATGTGTGAGGCTCCAAGTAACAGTTTTAAGTTTTCTCAGAGCATAGAAATCATAAAAAAACATGGTATGGAAAAGTTATCTCTAAACTCATGTATTCAAGAAGCTTTCAACAGAGCCAAGACATGGAATGTCAGTCAACACGCATTCTTTTTCTCCTCAGTAATTCTTATTTCTCTGAAGATATCTAGAACTCAGATAAAAACCTAAAAATAGAAGATAAAATATTTTGTTTCTTAAAATACAAAATTTGAAAAGAAAGGAGTTACTTTATCTTTATTTCAAAATATTTGGGGAATGGGAAATTTCTTCAAGATTAAGTAGACTCCTTAAGATTATTCAAGAAAATGTTTTCAGGCTTAAGTAGTAGGTGGAGTCACCTCTAGAGGACTTAGTAATTATCATAATGGTCCATAGAAATGTAACATTTTATCTTTCAGTCTTCATGAACTAGCTGAGTTAAACTTTTTGGTGGAGCAATTTCATGACTTTGGAAATGCTAAAAAGGAAATAAAGCTGGGTGATAGGACTGGGGTTTGGGGGTGACAGTTTTAGATAGAACTGTCTTCAGGGTTGACATTGAAGACAAGACCTGCCTGATAGGAGCCAGTGATGCAAACTGCTGGGAAGTGTTGGAAGCAGCATGTTCTAGGCAGAAAGAATAGTGAGTGCAAAGACCCCCAGCTGGGTGAAGGGTTGGTATATTTGAGGAAAATTATTTTGTTTGGATAGGAAGTCCTAGAAGCTTTATGGATGCAAATGGAAAAGATCTGTGGGTAGGCAGCCTGGTTGGAGAAAGTATCGAACACTTTTCTGAGAAAGCAGCCTAACTTAGGGGGAGGTCGTACAATCGCCAGGTACTATATAAATGGTAACTCAAAGTTGGTGGCCATGGACTTAAAGTGAAGCCAGTCAGCCAGTTATGATTTTCTAGAGCTTCAGTTTGGGGCTCAAAAAGGCTGATACTTGAGTTTAACTAGGTTGCCAGGCAAGTCTGATTGAGGGAGAGAAGAGAAGTAGAGCTAGAGTGTGAAGGAGTGACTGATTAGTGGTCATGGAATCTGTACAGGCTAAAGGGAAAGGTGGGGATATGAAAATGTGAACAATAGTGAACTTGGTGGGAAAAGATTTCAGTGAGATTTAAGAATTATTAATAAAATAAGTGGATAGGAGGTGGTGCGGTAACAGGTAATGATGCAGCCTAAGGTAATGCATGGGAGTGATGGCAAGGTAGGTCGTGGAAAAGACCCCTGGAGATGAGGACCTGAAGAGATTAAGAAGGCATAGGATAGGTTTTTGTTGTAGCCACTAAACAGCGACGCCAGGTGTGAGAGGGGTCAGTGAGCCATGGTTTGAGATCTTTCACGAAGGAGCAAGTAATCATGGTGTTGGTAGATGACCGTAATGAGGAGAGGGGTGTCAGAATGTCCTGATGCATAAGATGCAAAAGAGCCAAAAGTTTTGAAGGAGAAATGGTTGGGGAGCAGCTGTGAAGAACAATACCACCCCCACCTTTCAGATTCAAGCGAGGACGGCTACAGGGGCCACTGTCCTCAGGAGACTGCCAGGCACTTCCATCAAGGAAGGATTCAGAGACGTACTGTTAGAAGGACACTGGAAGCATGCCATCCAGGTTCCTCATTTTACAGATGAGAGACGATAGCACCATAGCTTAGAAAGATAGTGGTCACATATTTTGGCCTGCTTATTCCAGGAAAGTCAAGGTATGAGGTATATCCACATAATTCTTATTTTTTAAAAAACAGAACCTTTTGTCTAAAATGTCCCAATAAGACTGTAAGAATTTTAGTATAAATTGTCTTCATAAATTGGTAGGATTGATAAGAGTTTATAGGTTTGGAGGGTAACAAGATTAAATTAAGGTTGCCTATATTTTTATCCTTAATGGTTGTGAGATCATGGATTAATGCTCTTTTTCTTTTTTTAAAAGATAAACATCATGAATGATGAAAAAGTTAACAGCGTGAATAAAGCTTTTGTAGATATGCAAAAGGTACTTGTACAGTTCATAAAAGGCCTTTCCCTTGAACCTCTGCAGAAACAGCTGGTGAGTGGAAATCACTTCCTTTTGTTCTGGCTAATAAACTCCAAATTTTCAGAGCCTGTATTGATTGTAATTTTTAGTATTTGGCTCTGTAGTATGTATAGCTTATTCAGACTTTAAAACATTGAGTCTAAAATATGGGAATTTATTGTCCTATTTCCAAAAGTACAACTAGAAGAAATTATATTGAATAATAGATAATGTCAGTATATTATGTCATTTTTGTTTGCTATTGTTATCTAAATTTTTAAATGTAATTTTCTCTCCAGATTCCTCAGCAGTGTCATGAAAACGAACCAGTTAATGTTGATGAAGCTACAAGATTAATGGCTCAGTTGTAATACACTGGTGATGCATCAAATTCTCCAAAAAGACCAATAAATTAAATGTTTTATACAATTTTATTTTTAAAAATCTTGTTAATGTACAGGCATTGGCACATTTTAAAAACAAACTACATAAACAGATCTTTCCTATAAACTAGGAAAGTGGAATGTCAGAAGTCAACAAAATGTGATAAACTTAAAGTGCTAAAACAGAAGGCACTTCACAAAATCTGTTCACTGAAACAGTTAATATATCCTAGTTTACACCCTTCACTTTATAAGTGGCAGTGAATGTCTGGATCAGAGGATACACAGAAATATGGACAGTCTCATGGCAGTAAAAATGTAAGACAAACAGATGATGAGCCCTTGGCCAACTTTTTTGTTTTTGATGACCTTAAGTCTACTTTAACTTTCCTCTCATATAAGGAAAAAAACAAGGATTCAGAATGGGAGGAAAAGTTGAAATTCCAGAATGTAATTACTTGAGGGTAGGGAGTTGGTAGATATGAAATCACTTTTTCCCCTGAAGCAATCAGAATCCTTTGTTTTTATGGTTGAAGTTTTGTGAAGTAAAAAAGAAAGTATTAGGGAAGAACATTTCAGAATCAGTGAACTAAAAAGATGTTACATTCAGTATTTTAAATACTTAGGTTATTAAGACGTCTAAAATGTTACACAGTTAGAGGTAGATAACAGTCCCAAGTTTCCATGGAATCTAATAATTTAGTATCTGGACATCAAACAGATCACAAACTCCTTCATTATCATCTAAATTAAAGTTGTAGTCATCTGCCGGGGTTGGAGACAGCCGTAAAAGCGGAAACACTGCAAGCAAAAAATAAATTCAGTGTTAAAGATGGTTTCTACATACAGGTAATGATGTCTAACATAAAATACTATCAAAAACATCAAGCCAAATTATGTTTCCCATGTTATACAGCAATTTTTAAAAAATATGTAATAGGAAATGTAATGATCAAATTAATGACATATTTTGAAAGATTCTTCTTTAAAGACATTTTATGCATTGATTATAGGTGTTAGCTTGAGAAACAAGTTAATTTTTATTGGTTGAACTTGTCACTAAAATTTATGATTCAGAAACACTGGTCAAAGTATTTTCTCTGATCTGCTAAATAAGCTACCACTTTGAAAACAGAGAAAGGAACTAGACATAAATTAATAAATATGCTGAAATTCTCTGCTTTTACGGAAGTGTTTGATAAATGTCTAAGTGGTTACTGTGCCATTGGCTAATTTAACAGCTGCTACTTCCTAGGTCTCGGCTATACATATTTGTTAGGAACCAGGACTCTGAATCCAAGAACTTTTAGAAAGGTGAGGCCCAGAGAGTAATTGTTAAAGTAACTACCATATTATAGCTAGTTGATTTTTAAGAATTATTTCAGATTAGACGATGATGTGGCTAATCTTAGTAATACTGACTTCACATTGGCAGCTTGAAATTGGCCATGGTAGGAGTATTTACAAAACTGTTTTCAGATTTCCTGTTGACTCAGATACACTGTTTTACTCTTCTTGGCCAAATTCTTCAGGTGTAAAAAGGGCTAGTATGCCAACAATTTAGAAGTTTATTCAGTAAAAGTGATGAGTATCCCCTTATGAATTCTTTTTCCTCAAAATGCAGGCAAAAATGTCTGAAGGATGCCTATAACTTACTATGAATCATCATACTACATTAAGCAGTTAAAAAATACAGGTTCTTCATTTCTTTTAAATCATGTGCCACTCATAAATTCTAGAAAAGCATTATTGATGTATAAGGTTATATTTATTAAATTTTTTAACTACTTACCATCAGAAGACATTAACTCATCAATGATATCTCCACTAATAGATCCCGCTGGAAAAAGAAATGTGATAAAGCTTTTTTTACACTTCTCTTTATATATTTTAACAGCAAAAAGGCAGATATATTTAAACACAGTATATATTAAGCACAGTTATATTTAACATCAGCATCTTGATTAAAAGTACGAAATCAGGGCTTCCCTGGTGGCGCAGTGGTTGAGAGTCTGCCTGCTGATGCAGGAGACATGGGTTCGTGCCCCAGTCCGAGAAGATCCCACATGCCGCGGAGCGGCTGGGCCCGTGAGCCACGGCCGCGGAGCCTGTGCTCCGCAACGGGAGAGGCCACAGCAGTGAGAGGCCCGCGTACCGCAAAAAAAAATATATATATATATATGGAATTAAAGTACTAGAACTTTATGGAAACAGAATTTTCATGACACCTAATCTGTACCTGGCATTACTTTTAAACTTCTGAACTCAAGACGTAGCCCCCCAAACTCACTGTTTTCCCAAAACTGACTCTTCAGTTTTTAGTCAGTGTTACCATAATTCTCCCTATGACTCAACCTTAAAAGTGCAACATCACTTTACAGTCCTCCTGTTAACTTTATCTTCAGATCTCACACATCAAAGTTTACTTATTTTGCCTAAAGAGTATTTCTCAAATCTTCCTTATTTCTCTTTCCAGTCCCATTGCCATCACCTCATTTTAGCCTCAATGTTCTCTCACAGTTGCATAACTGCAAACATCTTATCTTCTGTCTTCATTGCCTCTAATCTCTTCTTCCCAGGGCCAAAAGCCTCTTCTTTCCTAATGACGTTACTTCTGTGTTCACCAGTATACAGTTCTAAACGTGCCACTTCCCTGGTCACAAATCTTCATTGGTTTATAGGTCAAAGTCCTAACTCAGTCTGATATTCAAGGCCCTCTCTAATCTGGCCCCAAATTGTTTACTATTTCCAAATACAAAATCATGTACAGAAATGAAACGCTCAAAAGTTTCTTTAATGCTTTGTGAAAGCCAATGTACTAATTATGTCTGAGCTAAACCATAAGCCTGCCTACTTTATTCTTCCCAATTAGATTATAAGCTTTTGAAAGATGACACTTTCTGTTGTGCATCCCTATGGCCTATGGTGTGGAAATACTTATAGGGGAAGGATATGGGCAACAAGAAGCTGAAAAATATTCTGTGTCCAGTTAGATCTTTTTAGTCTCACTGTTACCTATTGTGAACTCAAAGAGTAGACCACATCCCAAAAGGATAAAGGTAAAAATAAATTGGAATATATACAATATATTTATTTTAAATTATCTGCAATACTATGTCTAGATTGCATGGCAGTCATTCATTCAGCATCCATGGGTCCTTTATTTGCAACCACTAAGGAGCTGGTAAATACCTAGCCATGTAATAACCAAGGGAAAGGACTGGATGCTGAGGAAATTTTATAAATTTAAGAAATGTGGCCCCTATTCCTGATGCCCAGTTTTTAGCTATCATTTCACAGATCAAACAACTTAGGAAGGCAAGACTTCCTAAATAATTGGAGTTGAGACCACTTATCAACTCTATAAAACTAAGCTTTCCAAATAAAAAGTATAACAATAGAGAATACAGAGAAACAGGAGACCTAAGTCACTATAGTTGTCCCTAGTATGATTTTTATTAAACATAGAACAAATTTCAATTATATATACTAGAGTTACTAAGAGATAAAAGAACCTTACAAAGTAAATCTCAGATAAAAAAGCTGACATGTAAATAGTAAAAGGGGGGTGGGGGAACAAATTTGGTTTAATTCCAAAAATGGAATCCTAAGGAAAACTGCAAATATATATATTTACACAGTCTATGAAACAACTAGTAGTATAATTAAAGACAGGATCTGTTTTTTAAATTTTCCTCATAATACATATTCCAGTGCTGGGCACACAGAAGACACAAAATTAATACTTGTTGATCAGATTTACTATTTTGCCTCCTATACTAGATAATAAAATAACATCACAATTGAGAAATTCAGAAAAGCTCTCCAACTTGTTCAACACAGTATTCATATTTTCCCCTCTACTTTTTAAAACAAAGGCTCTGAACCCACCTGAAGATAAGTCTGTGGCTGGAGTCTGCTGAAGATTCTGGCTTCTTTCGGAGACATGTTGCTCAGGCAGGTTCTGAGTTGCCATGTTGGATTTCTGTGGAGGCACTGGAGTCGAGGGCTGAGAGGAAGGCTGTGTGAGGTCATCAGGTGGGGGAACAGGAAAAACCACGGGCTTAGAGGAGCTGGACTCTTTATTTATAAGCAGCACGTGGATAGGTCCTGAATGACTCTTTAGATTGATCTGGTATTTCTTTTGTCCATTCTGACCCTTTGAAGTTAGTGGGCACAAACAAATGAATAAAGGTCAACATTTCTAGGTAAGCTGAAACATTAAAAATAAGACAGGCAAAGCTATAGGGACTAACTACGACAAAATTAAGTCGCTAAGTCAAAACATAGAGACCAAGAGTAGAATGGGATATTGAGTGCTATAAACCACTTGCCCCTAAAAGTAAGCTTTTCTTAAATACTGGGCATCAAAAACTCCCAGTTGTAGAATTCTGGAAACCATCTATTTGTGTGTAATTATACATGTCAGTGTGCAGCAGCACTCCAAGCATTCTCCACACGTATGGAACTCCGTCCCCTGGCATCTGCCGCCATGGATGTGGTCATCTGAATGTGCGGTCTTAAATGGCAGTTACTTCACAGGTCAAAACTTTTTTTCATTCAGCAAAGCACAAAGACAACTGAGTTTTCTTACAGAGATATAAATGTAAAGTCCCTCCATTTCAAAAGGTAATTTGTATCCCGAGGCTTCAGAAACCAGTAACGTAAACGCCTAAATACAAAGTTCTAGAATAGCTGGGAGAAGAGAGAGAGGTGATAACAGTAATTTTTTCTACCTCTTTTTTGATTGTTATAGTTTTCAAATCAGTTTGTTTCAGGAAATTTGAATCTGAAAACTAAAATCATGAAATTTATATTAGCATAGAGTCAATAAATATCTCTGACTCAATAAGCCAGAAAATGTTTTTTAAAAGACCTAATTTAAAGCAATATATTATTGTTGATATTTAAAGTGAACTTTTTCCTCAGGATTGTTATATTGGTTATATAGTCAAACTGATCTTTTAAGATTATTGACTATATTATTACTCATTCCTTGATGTCTTCTAGCTCAAATAAAATCAAATTTAAAAAAAAAGTAAAATGTTAAATGATTCTTTCAGTCACTTCCATAATTTTACCAAAGTACTGAAGACGTCTAAATTCAGATATCAGTACTTTCAAACAGACACCTTAAAAGCAGTAACTTGAAAGTGTTTGCAATTAGCTCATGTTCAGCTAAAGAAAATATATTTGTCCCTCTTGGAAGAGTAGATCCATTTTAACAAAAGTTATCCTACATACATACCATTTCTGGAATAGGTACCTCCAGCTGTGTACCAGAAGGTGCTTGAATGGCCAAAAGTGTATCACCTGGTCAAAAAAATTAAGAAATAAAGATTTTTACATTTTAGAAAATACTACTGATCCTGTAATACAGTGGCCAAGAGTGTGGGCTGTGGAGTCAGAATGCTTGGATTTGAATCCCAAGCTAGGTAACCTTGGGCTTTGGTTCTTAATTCTGTAAAATGGAGGCAATATAACTTACTGCATAGGGT